AAAAAAAAAAAGAAAAAACAAAAAAAAATATTGAGCCATATAGCAAGACCCTATCTCAAAAAACTAAGTAAGAAAAAAGGGCAGAAAAACTACTGCCATAACTGATACTTTAGGGCCTGGGGATTTGGCTCAGGGGTAGAATGCTTGCCTAGCAAGCTGGAAGCCCTGGATTCAGTCCTTGGCACCAAAACCAAAAAATACATAAATAAATAAATACACCTCCCCTGGGTTACACCACTTAATGGAGCTACATTGAGTCAATGTTTAATACTTCTTACATTCAATCACATGGCTTTCCTTGAAGTAAAAACTTACATCAAGAATTCAGCTAAATTGTTCTTTGTGTTTGTCCCAAGGATTCAGAAATTGGACTTCATAATAGATATGACATCATATTGTAGCAGCAGATGGCAGCGAAGATAAGTCCCCACAAAAGAGACTCTTCCACCAGATATATAGCTGTGAAACAACCTTGTTCCTGGGGCAAAAAGTTGTGTATTACAAATAGCTTCCCTGAAAAAAAAATGTTATCAGTGATAGTCATTAATGCTGTCAATATGTGCTTAGAAGCAGACCTTTGAATTCACTGAACAGATTGAGCACCAGTAATCCTAAAATGCAAAATCCAAAATGCTCCAAAATCTGAAATTTTGAACACTGTCATGGTTTTACTTCTGTTTAAAAATTCTATACCTTCTTATGTGACAGGTTGTAGTAAAAACACAGGTTCCCTAACAATATTGTGTAATATTACCTTATGTTTTAGACATGTGGAACAGAAGTGAATTCGATGTTTAGATTTGGGTCCCATCCTTAAGATAACTCAGTGCATATGGACAAATATACCAAAATTTGAAAAATCTTAAAATCCAAAACATTTTTGGTCTTAAGCATTTTGAAAAGACAAACTCAGCTTGTATCACAAGGTAGTAGGTTAAGATTTTAATGAACAGTGGCATACATTTGGCCAAATTGTTCTGTTTAGAAATAATAGTGTGCGTGTTTTTATTTATTTTTTTAATTTTTGGTGGAACCGGGGATTGAACTCAGGCCCTTGCTCTTGCCGGGGAAGCGCTTATTCCACTGAGCCATCTCCCCGGCCCACATGATTTTAGAATAATTGAAAATTTTAAAATGGTTGAACTGATTAATAATGTGGTATACCATTAGCCTTTTGAAATTTCAAAATTTTGTATTACTTCCATGCTCAGATATGCTTAAATATTTGTATTAGAACAAATATTTGTATTAGTACATATATAATTTACAAATCTTTAAAAAAATTATAATTAGTTAATTCGGTACACAGTCTCACTATGTAGTTCAGACTCATAATGATCTTCCTGTCTCAAACTCTCCAGCTCTGGACTTAGAGGTGTGTACCACCATGCCCGGCTTCATTGGCTGGCACATGGGGCTGGCACAGCATGTGGTACCGGGGATCTAACCTGGGTCCTTGCACTTGGCAGGCAGGTGCTTAGACCACCGAGCTATCTCCACAGACCCCTGAATATCTTTGTAGTATAAGCTTTTTCTAAAAAATAATGAGGGGCTGGGGAGATGGCTCAGGGGAATAAGCACTTCCCTGGCAAGCGCAAGGGCCAGAGTTCAATCCCCTGTTCTGCCAAAAAAAAGCACACACCAGGCGTGGTGGTGTATGCTTGTAATCCCAACACTCAGAAGGCTGAGGCAGGAGGATCACAGCAAGTTTAAGGCCAGCTTAGAGTACAAAGTGAGTACAAAGCTGGCCTGAACTGCATTTTGTAAAACCCTGTCTCAAAAAGACAGTAACAGTAATGAAATAATGAGCACATATTACAAGGCCAGTGGTCCCCAGATTTAAACTCTTTACTAGATAAAAAGTATAGAACATGGCAGTCCTTTTCTGGCAGATAACTTTTGAAAATTTGTTTGTTGTCAGTGAGTCTTCATTTTTGTTTCTCATAGAGTATCCCAGCAGGGTAGTGTACACTTCACAAGCCAGGGGTTTAGTTTCTGTGACTAATCTTTATGTGAGGACTGGAAACTGGCATCCACATGGTGTTGGAAATTACTGTATAGTCAATATGCATATTGATCAGCAATAGGGGAACTACTATTATTTACAACTTTAAAAATGTAAGGAATGTATTCACCCAAAATTTAAATTAGAGGTGAGACTTGGCAAAATTAATGGAGTAGTATAAACTTTCCAGGAAAATAAACTCTTTTATGTCTTACATCCTTTTCCAAATTAGTATGTATGAAACACTATTAAGAGCCATCATTAGATGCTGAGAAAGTATCCCATGAACAGAATAAGTATGGAAAGAACTAGATTAAACCCATGATTTTTAATTGTTGGATTTCTCAGAATCTTAGATATGTTAATATGCATTGTAAATTTCCTAGAAGAAAGTGTGGTATGCAGCTTCTTCCATAACTTTAACCACAGAATCCCATCTTCAGGCAGCACTACTATTACATTCTGGGACCTCTGATACAGTGGTGGAAAACATGTGCCTTAGTGTGTCAGATGGGACATGCAGAATCATTAGAAAGCCTGCGCTGTCTTCTCCTTGCAAATAGTGCTTTAAACTTACAGTCTTGAAGCTTGGAAAAAGTTGGTTGTTGGGCCAGGAACATAAGATGCTTTTAGATTAAAATGTGAGAAACTCAAGCAGTGTGGCAAAAAAAAGAACTTCTGAGTCCACAGACCTGGGGTCAAATCTGGGCATCCATACCGAACAGCTGTGTTAACTTGGCCAGGACTTGTCACCCTTAGTTTTCTCAACTATTAAAAGAGTAATGACTTCTGTCTTGTATCATTTTATGAAGTTAGTAATAATCTTGTAAATAAAACATTACTATAAATAGTATGGTAGTGATTCTGAGAATTTCATTATTTTAATATGGAATTGAAATTTTCTTTTGTTCTTTGTAGAATCTGGAGGTGAACTGGATATTGTAGTGACCTCAAATAAAGAAGTAAAAGTGGCTGCTGTCCGAGATGCCTTCCAGGAGGTCTTTGGCTTAGCTGTGGTTGTAGGGGAAGCTGGACAGTCCAATATTGCCCCACAGCCAGTGGGCTATGCAGCTGGATTGAAAGTGAGTAACAGCTGGGCATGGTGCTGTATACTTATGATCCCAGCTCCTGGGGAGCCTAAGGCAGAAGGAGCTCAAGTTAGAAGTCAGCGTAAGAAATTTAGCAGGAGCCTATCTTAAGAGTAAAATATTTAGAATGAAAGCCCAATAGTACAACTTGGTAGAGCACTTGCCAAGCATGTGTAAGGCTCTGAGTTCAGTCTCCAATATTGAAAAAAAAAAAGAAAAATGGAACACCCTTTTAAGGATATAGAATCTGTCGGTTACTGTCTTGGTAAGTGTAATAATGTTTCTATGGTCTATATGGAGCTACTATGTTTACTAAAGTAATCAGCTGTGTTTAGACAACTCTTACTAGTATTAGGAAGACATTATAAAGTTTTAAGAAAATCTAAGGTAGATTTATTGGTGGAGGAAAGGAAATAAACTCAAAGAATATTCTTAGTTACTTTTCTTGATGCTGAGACAAAATACCCAACACGGATAAAGAAGGAAATATTTATTTGGCTCATAGTTTGTAGATGTTTTAGTGCATTCGTCAGCTGGCTCCAAGGCAGTGTGGCATTGTAGAGGGGCATCCCAAAGGAGAAATAGCCCAGAGCAAAGCAAGAGTACCTTAGCCTTCTTTCTGTCCCCTACATTTTATGTAGTTTACCTGCCTTAGAGTGGGTGTGGCACTCATCCCCTTAATCCTAGCCAGAACTATGCCAGACCAATCAGTGGACTGATGTAGTAATCACCCCTGTTCACAGCATCACACACTTCTCTGAAAAGCCCCACCAATGACTGCATGAGGCTTTGTGGGGGAACATCTAACACAAGCCATAACAGCACACAAGGAGTTGTTAGTCTTAAAAAGGATTTAACCCAGTATTAACATTTACATCAGTTACTGAGATTACAGTATCCTTTGAATCCTAAAAATTTAAAATTATCTGTTAGTCGTGCTGCAGATGTTTTTAAGTTTAAGGAATTCTTCCCTCTTATGCATTGGTGAAAATGTTCTGTTGTATTGTTATCTGCATACATACACAGTCATGCATGAAATGAACAGTCATTGGCATGCAAACGTTTCCCCCTCCTTTAAAAAACAAAAATGCCAAACAAGACCTGTGACAAACTCTTTGGCCTCACTTCCCCTGTAATCTGCTCCTTTATTTTGCTTTGTTTGCAGCATACTTCCTCTAGAAGTCACCAGTGTTTTTCTTCAGTTCTTTTCATATTCTCTTATCTCAACTCCAGTCAGGCTTTGCCTGCAACACTTGCCTGAGAGTGTACTCACTGCTGCCAGGGTGCTCCATCTTACTTGACGTAGCAGTGGGTTTCAAGACAGGTAACCACTCTTTCATGCCTTTTCAGTTGATTCCTTGGAGACGTGCTTGGGAATTTTTTTTTTTTTTAGACTTCACTCAGTGTTGTGGCTTCTGCTGTTTCTGTGCTGCTTTCTCTTCTTTTCAGCCTCCAGGTCTTCTTTTCCTTGACCCTTTGGAGATCTACTGTCCATCTTTAAGTGCCATCTTTCTGTGGACCACTCCAAGTTTGTCTTCACTGAAACCTCTCTTGTAAACTTCTGATTTATATAAAAGTTGCCTTCAATGACTTTACTTGGCCATCTCAAGTGTAGTATGTCTGGAACTAAATTTTCTTTCCCTTAGATTTGCTCTCCCAGCCCTCTCTGTCTCACTTGATCACATTCTAGTCTTCTGCTTTCTCAGATGAGAAATCTTAAGTCATCCTGAACTTCTGAATAGCTAACTGATGGCTATATGACTTGAATTTAATCTCATCTAGAAATGAAAAAAATATGACAAATTGGTAAATATGTGATGCAGTAATTGCATATCAGTCAGTTATATATAAGGTAAATCATAAGCATTTATGTGGATAATTTTTATTTGAAAGATTAAAACAGGTCACATACATAAATTGAAGTTGTACTTTCAAGATTTCATGAATGCTTTTGCAAATTGGAAAGAGTTTAAGAATCTGGGAAGGTAGACCTTTTCATATTACTTTTAAAGGGTAATTTGGAGAAAATCCTAAAATAGAAATAGGCTTTTGGACATAAAAAGGGTAACTTCATGTTTTGAAATTAGAAATTAAAGCAAGAACTTTGTTAAATTGTGAAGCATTAAATAAATGATATGTATATCATTCCAATCTTTACTGTAAAACGACATGTATTTGTCAGGCTTTTTTTCCAGAACAGTAGAGGGAGCTAATGAGAAGAAAGATAATGAAGATTCCTAAAATATAAAAAAAAAAAATTAACCTTCTTTCTATCAAATTTTACTTGAAGTGACTTTTGTGAACTAAACATGTTCTTTAAACATATGAAATTATTTCAAACAGTAAATCAATTTAGCCAAAATTAAAATTTAGGAAGTTTCTGAAATTTCTGTGTAAAGCATTCATTTTTCTCTTTCCTTTCCTTTCTTTTTTTTTTTTTTTCTTTTTGATACAGGGTTTCACTGTGCTGGTTGGCTTTGAGCTCACTTTGTAGCCTCGGCTGGTCTTGAACTTGTAACCATTCTCTTGCCTCAGCCTCCCAAGGGCTCAGATTAGAGGCCTGTGCCACCACACCCGGGTTCAAGCTTTCATTGTATTGGAAAATCAATTTGTAGTCATGACCATTGTTTCATAGTTTATATTCAACAAAGATGTAGATAATATCTGCATTTCTGAACATGTGTGAAACTCTAATTATATGTCTGAACTAAGTTGAAACTTTCAGAATATAATGTAAACTCTTAAGGCCCTTCTGTCTTGTGGTTCAGTTTGAGATTATTTCAAGGTGTCCTATTTTTACCTTCTCTAGTTCTTGATCCCTTGAAGTCCTGTCCAGTAGCTTGGAAAATGAACAAATTTAATTTGTTCCCTGGTAGTGTAATATCTAGTAATTTTTTGTTGTACTACATAGCTCCGATATCACCTTGAAGGTGTTGGGGATGAATCTAAACAACCCACTAGTCCCCTAATAGTTTTTACTGAATTAACATTCATTTAATCTTCTTGGTAAAAATGTACCCATAACTCCCTCACTGGGAGAAGTCAGCAGGCTTATAGTGCCCACTATAAAGAATTACATTAATCTTACCTGTTACATTTCTTTCAAAATCTGCAGCTGCCTTCTTATTTCAGTGTTACACTTGATGAAGTCATTTTCATGCTGTATTCTTGAATTGGCCATCAGGGCTTTGGGGACCCTTGTTTTTCCCATTGCACGATTTGTTTGTGTACTCCTGATTTCTTGTTGAACACCTATCGTGTTCAACTGATAGATATCATGCTAGGCATTAGAGGTAAGACTGAACAAAATAGTAGTAACTTTTGTTATATTTTAAGTTATGGCATCTTTTATCTTTAAAGATAATATTTAAGTTATTCCTGTTCTCATACAGTTGTCACTTTCCTTTAGCCTCTGAAAAAAGAATTCATTTTCTCTAGAAATAATTGAACTTTATTTTTATCCAAATAAAAATTGAACATATGTTCTCATTTCTTCTGTGTAACTCTTCTGCCTTTAAAAATGTAGGCTTATCATTTATAGGTGATTTTGTTCAAAAATTACTTTGACTCTATTGCCCTTTGAACATTTTATCATTCATGATCACTGCTTATGAAATGATTCAGAGAAAGTAATAAATACCAACTTTGTCACTAGTAATCTAACTTACTGGATAGTTTTCTGTTTATGAAATATATATTTCATAATTTTGAGTTCTCTAATGCAGTGTTCTCAACCCCTCAATTTTGCTTTATTGATGGTAGTTATTGAATAAGCTTTAGTATAATGTGTGTATTTACAACTTTTATTTTAAATAATTGGTCATTTTGGTGCACCATATTAAAGAGAAGTCAAAAAAAAGTAAAACATTTTTACTGTTAATGTGAATACTTACATAAAAAGACTCATCTAAGATGGCCCTTTGACAGATCAACATTAATAAAATAGTTTTCTTACAGTAATAATAAGTTAGAAAACATAATTTAAAATGACCCATTTAACAACTGCAGCTAACATAGTATTGTATGTGGATACAATTTAGAAGATGCAGGGCTGGCCAAATAGCTCAGCAGATTAAAGCGCCTGCAAGCAGGCTCAGGGCCCTGGGAGTACCCTAGACCTGCTGGCCCTGCCCCTGGGGCACACTGAGATGGCACTTGAGCCTGGGCGTGGCGGTACGTGCTTGTAATCCCAGCTCTTGGGAGGCTGTAAACAGACAAATTGCTACCAGTCCAATCTAGTAGTGAGATGCTGGACACCCTATAGACCCTTCCCTAAAAATACAAAAAAAAAAAAAAAAGTTCAGAAGATGCACCCCACACTTAATAATGGGAATGTGATTGGTCTTTTTCATTTTTTGCTCTATGTACTTTTATATTGTTTGAATATTTGTAGCATGTATAATTAGTGTATATATTACATAATCAAGTAAATAGTAAAACATGAATATATTGTTTTATTTTATTTTAATTTTTTTTTTTTGGAACTGGGGATTGAACTCAGGCCCTTGCACTTGCCAAGCAAGTGCTTAGTCTACTGAGCCATCTCCCCAGCTCCTTATTAAGTATTTTAGAAAAATTGTTTCCAATCTCTACCATTGTCATTTAGGGTGCCCAGGAACGCATAGATAGCTTGCGTCGCAATGGAGTCATCCATGAGAAGCAGACTGCTGTGTCAGTAGAGAACTTCATTGCAGAACTGCTGCCTGACAAGTAAGAGGCTTGCTATATTTCTCTTAGAAGCAAAATGCATTTGGGTCTAGGAGTTTACACTGAATACCTAGAAGAAAGTGTCTCCTATTTTAGATCCAGAGAGAAAGGTTTGTTCTCATGACAGCTCTTACCACTTTAGCTGTGCCCTCCTTGCTTTTTAAATTATAAAATGGAGATAGTATTTCCATTTTTAGTAACTTCATGTAACAATACTAAATATAATGGTGTATTGGCTTATTTATAATAGGCCACAGGTATCAAACACAGTTTATCTCTTAGTTATTTAAATGTACAAGATGACCTGATGGCAATTACTGGGTTTGAGTAGAATACTGTGTGTGTGTGTGTCTGGAGAAAAATCTCCAGACAGTATACAAAAAATGTCTTTTAACTCTGAAGGGATGTTATAGACCAGCTGAGAGAAAATGTATATACAGATGAAAAGCTTTAAATAATTGTAAAAAAAGTTCCATATTTTTTGACCAAATATTTTACATAAAAGTTTAGGTAGTTCTGTGGAGTCATCTGAAATTTTTGTGTCAAATGAAATTTATAAAAGGTTACAGCATCAACTAGATTTTGAAAAAACAGTTAAAACTTGTGTTAATGAGAAAAAGGTAGGATATTCTGGGTAGAGGTTTAGTTCAAAGACATTAAAAGGTATTCAGGAGGCTGGAAGTTTGTTGACTAGGGAATCAAGTAATTTGAGGACAGATTGGGAATAGCTTTTTGTTCTAGGTTGAGAAGTTTGAACTTTCAATGTGTGTACTAAAGAGCTATTTAGTGATTGTTGTTACTTAGTTTTCTCTATTAACCTTTTACCGTTATTTAATGGTTACTTTGGAGATTGCATTTTGCCTCTGAAAGACTTTCTTTCTCCCTTTACTTTGTCCTCACTCTTTCATGGCTATAAATATATGATTTGAATAACTCATCTAGCTTTTCACTAGAAATGTTGGCTTACCATAAACTACTCCAGCACACCATGATGTTGCATTTTCCCCGTCAAATACCTTAGTTTTAGAAAAAGAGTAGAATATTATGAAGATCAGTAGTATTCAGTAGTACTAGGAAGTCTGATAGTACAGGTAGAAAAAGGGAAAACGGATTATAACAAAGTACAGGGTGGGGAGAAAGGGGAAGGATAAGGTAAGAGTGTAAATGTAAGATTCCTTTTGTGGCTGCTTCTTTCCACATTGTTCCCATGAGAAATAAATGCCTAGAAGATAAGGGCAAGAAAATGCATGCTTAGAAATGAGGTTGAAGACACCTTTCCAGAAAGAGCCCACCGACTAAAAGAAAAAATTTAAAAATGTTTTTGGCCCTTAAGAAAGAATAGTGCTAGTTTACATATAGTGGTTTTCATCTGCTGTCTGTATTGGACTCTTCGTCAGTTCCTGCAGAATGAAAAAAACTAGCATGACGTGTACCACCTATGGAAGAATGCTAGTATAAGCATAGAATGCCCATATTCTGAGATTTACTTGTCTAGTGTTTGGTTTTAGATCTTGAGTTATGCTGTTAAATTTGCTAAATGTCCATAAAATTTTGATGGGCGATAGCAGATGCTTTGTTACTGGTAAAACATACAAATTGGCATCTCTGTATCAGTTCCTCAGATGCTGTTGTATAGTTCCTTTCTGCTTTGTGAAATCTATAAATATCTTAGAACCATAGTTTTGTTTTTTTAATTATTTTTTTAAATGTTTTTAGTTCAGGGTCTACATGGTCTCACTACACAGATAAGACTTGTAGTGATCCTTCTGTTTTCAACCTCCCAAGTACTGGGATTACAGGTGTGCACCACCATACCCAATCTCAGTCTTTTCTCAGCAGGCTCTAGGGGCAGGGCCGGCATGGAACAGAGGGGATTGAACACTGACCCCTGCATCTGCCTAAGTAGACACTTTAATATGCTGAACTATCTTGCCAGCCTACCATAGTTCTTTTAAGGCCTTTTAAAGTAAAATTGATTTTTAAATAGGCTTGTTCAAATCCATTGTGTTCCACCAGCCAAATGGAGGAGAGATGGAGTCTCCCCTGACTCCTTGAATATGAGCAGTCTAACTTGGTCCTCCTCTCAACGTGGCAGCAGGAAGTAGGATAGGAAAGTGTGTATGAAGGTGGGGAAAAAGAACTAAAAACTTTCTCCACCAACAGTGTGAGGGACAGAAATAGAAGAGTACTTGGTAGAATGACAGTGGTTATAGTTTCACAGTGAATTGAAGAGAATGAGAAAGCTGCTGTCCAGGTTGAAATGTTCAGTAGCATAGTGATGTTTTAGAAAACAAAGCATCTTGGAGCTCACGTATGTGTTCATTAGCATGAGAGAAACTTCTTATATTTCCAGTGACTGCTTTTCAGGATGTGCATGCATAACAGTTCAGTCCATTACTCATGACACACACTATCTACACAAATAATGTAAAATGGCACAAAATAAAATTTAGCTAAGCTTGGGTTTATGGAGATTTCACAAGTATATTTTCTCAACTGAAAAATATTATAACCAAATATGAATTTTTTTTCTTTCTGTATTTCAGGGAAGGGTCTACAGGGTGTTCAGGGTCTCACTACTAGATCAGACTCATAGTGATCTGCCTGTGTACAGCCTCCCAAGAGCTGGGATTACAGGCGCGTGCCACCACACCCAGTCTCAGTGCACCCTGGGGGCCGGCCGGCACAGCAGGCCTAGGGATTGAACCCCTGACCCCTGCACTTGCTTATAGGTGCTTTAATCCGCTGAGCTATTTGGCCAGCCCCCAAATGTGAAATTTTGATTAGTATAACAAATAAAATAAATCATTATTAAGTTTAAAATTTTAGGATATGACTGCTACAGATATTCAAAGTCCCATTTTAATATTCAGTAGAGTTGCTTATGTTATACTATATTTTACTGTTTCTTTGTCTGAATATGTAAGTCTCCTAATCTATTTTTAAAGTTTGTTTTACTTTATTATATCTATGTTTATTTAGAGACATCGAACATTCTGTTCCAAATGCTCATATTGTTTATTCATAATTTCAAGGAAGCAGGTTGTTGAATAAATTTAGTAGTTAAGATTTTGATGTTGCTATAATTGTCTTCACATAAGTAAATTTAAGAATGTCTTTTTATAATTTCTCAGTGTCTTTAAATGGAAGAAAGCTTTTGTGATTTTGTGTAGATATATTCAAAGTCTGATTCATTGTGAAAAATTCACAAAATGTGATTAGAAGGATTTATCATTCATGAGAATAGTGTCATTATTTCCTCCAAATGAGCTTATTTGAAAATTCTGTAGTAGTGTGTGGTGGCTTAACACTTATAATCCCAGCACTCAGGTGGCAGAGGCAGGAGGATTACTGAGAGTTTGAGGTCCACCTGGGTTACAAAGCAAGTTCAGAGTCAGCCTGTATTGCATAGTGAAGCCCTATCTCAAAAAGACAAGAAAAAAAAAGATAACAAAATACAAAATTTGGTAGTAACTGCTAATGGGCTGCTAATTAATGATACAGATGGTAATATATACTTCCATATTTTAGCAAGTAACATGTATTGTTACTTGTGAGAAGCTATTTGCATATTCAGGTACATGTAAACCTTGCTTTTGCATATTTGTGTAATCATTTTTTTATTTTCTCCCATCTTAACAAGAAAGGAAACTTTCTATAATCAGCAATTTTAAATACTTTATTTCCCATTTTCTTTCTCCTTTTTGAATTAACAAAGTAATTTTATCTATTATTTCAAGGTTGTTTCCTTGCAGAATAATAAGAAAAGTTTGTTTTATTTTATTTTATTTAGTTAGTTAGTTTTTTGTACTTAGTACAGGGTATATAGAGTTTCACCACACAGATCAGACTCGTAGTAATTCTCCTGTTTTCAGCCTCCTAAGAGCTGGGATTACAGGCACACACCACCATGCCCAATCTCAATCCACATCTCAGCAGGCTCCAGGGGCGGAGCTGGCACAGCATGCTGGGAATTGAACCCTGGCCCCTGTGTTTGCCTAAGCAGGTGCTTTAATCTGCTGAGCTGTCTTGCTGGCCCTGAAAAGTTTGTTTTTAAAATTGGATGTTTTATCTGAATACTAACTTGCTTTTCCTTTCTGTCCATTTGTTGTAATTTTTACTTTCCATGTAAACTATATGAGAACCACGTATTCTCTTACAGATGGTTTGACATTGGATGTTTAGTAGTGGAAGATCCTATCCATGGCATTCGTCTAGAAACCTTTACCCAAGCCACACCAGTGCCTTTGGAATTTGTACAACAGGTTGGTTTTCTGCTTTGGTGTATTTTTGTTTTAATTAAGTTTATTGGTAGAGTATTAGACATACATAATGATCACATTCATTGTAGGGAACTTGTACCTGTACATGATAGACTTTAGTTCCTCCTTTCTCCCATTCTCTTTTCCTCCCTTAACCCCTGTTCTCCTCATTTACAAAGCATTGTTTCCATTTTATCATTTTTTTCTCCTACTTTCACCCCTATTCTTTTTGAACAATTTCTTTTTATTTCACATTTTGTTTTTTATTTATACTTTCAGTTTCTCACACCAGAGGCCATGTGATATTTTACATACATATGTCCAATTCATTTCACTTAAAACTGTGGTCTCAAGGTCCATCCATTAACCTAGAAATGTCTGATGTTTATTATTATGGCTGAATTGTATTCCATTGTAGAAAATAACCATGTCTTCTTTATTGATTCATCAGTTGATAGGCATTTGGGTTATTTCTAAGATTTAGCTATTGCAAATTGTGCCACTGTAAACATAGGTGTGCATATATTGTTGTGATATGATGCTTTTAATTCTTTTGGAAAGATAAGAAGGGGGATGGCTGGGTCAAATGTGAACTCTAGTGCTAGTTTTTTAAGGAATTTCCACACTGATTTCCACAGTGGTTGCACCAGTCTACATTCCCACCCACAGCAGAGAAGGGTTCTTTTTCCCCATACCCTGACAGCATTTGTTACTGGTTGATTTCTTGTTGATAACCTTTCTTTCCAGGGTGAGATAGAATCTCAGTGTTGTTTTAATTTGCATGTCTTGAATATTTTTTCATATATTTGTTTGCCTTTGTACTTCTTATTCTTGAGAGTTATCTATTCATTTCAGATGCCCATTTTTGGATTGGGTCTTTAAATTTGAGGAGTCTAATTTTCTTTCATTTCTTTGTGTGTTCTAGATATTTGTCCTTTGTCTGAAGAACCAACTAGCTAAGATTTTTTTTCCTTCTCCGTAGGTTGTCTTTTTACTCTATTAGTAATTTCTTTCTTTTTTTTTCTTTTTTCTGTATTTTAGGGAAGGGTCTACACAGTGTTCAGGGTCTCACTACTAAATCAGACTCTTAGTGATCTTCCTATTTACAGCCTCCCAAGAGCTGGGATTACAGGCATGCACTATGATGCCCAGTCTCAATTGCAATTGCTGTCTCAGTGCGCCCCGGTGGGGGGGCTGGAGGGAGGCAGTCCCAGGGATCCAACCCCTGGCCCCTGCAGCTACTTGCAGGCGTTTTAGTCTGCTGAGCTATATGACCAGCCCTAGTTATTCATCTTTAGTGAAAACTCAGTATTAGAAACCTTAAATAATAATTACATGTTGTTAGCTATGTTGAGTTAAAAAGTGAACCAAATGATGTAACCATCCATAATTGCCAAAAGGCATAAGCAATAATTTTTATATAAAATTTTGTAATTCTTTAACAAATAAAATGGAATTTATGTATATATTTATATTAGAACATCTGTATTACTAAAGTTATTTCATTGCTTTTTTCTGTCTTAAAATTATTTGAGGGGGCCAAGGAGATAGCTCAGTAGAATAAGCACTTGCTTGGCAAGCGCAAGGCCCTGAGTTCAATCCCTGGTTCCTCCCCCCCCCAAAAAAAAAAAAATTATTTGGGGTTTATAAACATTTGAGAATCTGATAAAACTATAGATTCATTGTATGTATAGTTAGTTACATATACATTTGGCATATTGTGTTCATAAAGTGGCTAAAAACATTCTGGACTCATTAGAAGCTTATAGTTTAGAAAGGAAACTAAGAATTGATATCTGAATTTTTGCAGTTCTCCTAAGAGTTTTTATTTACACCATAATTGCTTTTCAAAAGTTCAAGAAATTTTTAATAAATGTTAATAAACTCATTCCAATGTAAATATAAGATTGTAAGTGAACACTGCATACTGTTATACCAGCAAATTTGGATAAAATGATAGATTTTCTAGGAAAATATAAATTTTTCTGTTGTTGATTCAGAAGTATTAGGTTGAGATGTTCAGAACTGCTCTTCGATAGAAACAATCATTTATTGTCAGTTTCATGATTTAACCCAATTACTGTACCTCAGTGAATCATTATAGTGAAAGAATTCCATCAAACCAAAAAAATCTTTGTATTCTAATGGTATTAGAGTTCCACATAATATTCAAGGTATAGTTGAACCTCATGTTGCATAGATTATAAAAAATATAGAAAGTTTTCTAATTTGTTATCTTAACACCAAAGATTTTAGTCCATTATCACTTGAGAAATAAATGTTGAAATCATTGGTAAAATTAAGAGATTAAATTCAGAAATACATTAGAACAATATATCCTGACTATGAGGGGTTTATCCCAAGAATGGAATGATTCACCAATAGCAAATCGATTATGTAACTCACCATATTAACAGAGTAAAGAAGGATTCTAGCAGTATAGTTTGCTAGAAATAATAACCATATTATTAATTAGTCTTAGCTAATTAGGATTAGAAGGGTATATTTGTATTAGGAAATCAAAATAAAACATTAGATCCTCAGATCTCATGATAGAACATTAGAAGCTGTGTAATTATAAGGGTACTTCCATCACTGCCACTGTTAACATTGTGATGGATCCAGCTCAGTGCACAGTGGTCCACCGACAAGTCTGGCCTGCCACCTACTTTTATAAGTAAGTTTGTTGGAGCTGGGTGTGGTGGTGTATACCTATAATCGCTATGCTTGGCAGGAGGAGGCAGGAGAATCAGTGAGTTCAAGGCCAGCCTGGGCTACATAGTGAGACTCTCAAAAAAAAAGGGAAAAAGTAAATTTATTGGAACATGCTCTGCTTGTCTACTTATAAACTGTTACAGCTATTTTTTTTTCCATAATTTTATTGAGAAACAAATAGCAATAAGACAGTTGCAAATCAAATTGGTAGGACAGTTTCGATAATTAATACATTGCATACATTCTTCCTAGTGGTTAATTGCTGTACAAGACGCGGACATGATATCCTATTTACAAACACCATTAGAACAAATCCCTCTATTCATTAATAGAATGTAACTATATATCTATCCTAACCACTTTGAATACACAGATACAAAATGGACATTCATCTGTATCCCCTTTTTGTGTTAAGTTCCATTATTTGAATATTATAGGTGTGTAAACTCAGCAAAATATTCTAAAAGAGTCCAGTAGCCCATAATAGTATTGGGTCTTCTGCTTGACTGGCAATGTCAGAAATTGTTGACCTGAGTCCCCTACAACTCAACATAACAGCATGGCTGCTTTACTTCTATTTCGTTTTTATACTTTTCTGCTGGATGGTTAAGACCAAGGTCAGCAGGACCTATGCAACAAGAGTTGTGTTACAGCTATTTTATACTGCAACAGTTGAATTGAGTTTGCTGACCTCTATATGAAATAAAGCACTTTCCTTTTACAGTGGTGTCTCAGTTCATGAACATTTTCTCCATGATTCTGGTTAAAACTGAAGTGGACAGGAATGAATCAGTTTTGTCTTTAAGGTTAACATTGGACCTAAATGTGACCAGAATTGAGGAATTAAGTTTGTGAACTGAAGCACCACTGTGTTCTCTGCTGTTCAGCTCTCTTCATTTCTTTAGCCATCCTGAAATGATTTATATCTATGCTGTTTTCTTATTTAGTTTTTTTTTTCTTTTTTTTAATTTGAGGGAATAGAAACCAGCCTTTCAAAGAAAAATAATTAGTATCAGTATGTATTGTATAGAAAAATCTGGAAAAAGATTTCATATAATTTATACTTGTTAAATACAGGTGACTAGGGCTGGGGATTTAGCTCAATGACACAGTGCTTGCCTGGCACACATGAGGTCCCAAGTTCAGTTCCCAGTACCATCCATCCATCCAAACAAGTGACTCTTTCCCTGCCCCCATTAAAAACTCAGCTTGTCTGGATTTTTGCTTGTAATATGAAATACCTTGCTCCTTGGGAATGTAAGCCTAGCATCCCGAGCATCACCTGGGAACTAAAGCAGCACAGCCTCTCGGGCCCACTCAGAACTCAAGTGGGCAAAAAACAAACACGGTGAACTATCTGCATTTTCTATGCAGCATGGGGTTTTTATTATTTTTACCTAAAGACGTCTCTTTTTCGTAATGACAAATGTGTTTTTTTAAAAACTGGTTTTTCTCAATAAACCTTTCAAAGATTTTAATTTTTTTTTTTTTTTTGCGGAACCAGGGATTGAACTCAGGCCCTTGCTCTTGTCAGGGAAGCGCTTATTCCACTGAGCCATATCCCTGGCCCTTTAAATTGTTTCATATCTGGTCAAGTTGAGATTTTTAAGAACTTCATTTTTTTTTTTTTTTTGCGGAACCAGGGATTTGAACTCAGACACTTGCACTTGCCAGGCAAGTGCTTATTCTACTGAGCCATCTCCCCAGCCCAAGAATTTCATTTTTAATTTGTAATAGAAGTTTGCAACTTGATTTTTTTCAAAAAAATCAACAAACTGCAAGCACCTGTTAATAAAGGTCTTAAATAAAAAGAAGAAGAAAAAAAAAAAAGGAATTTAACTCAGTTCCTTGTACGTGCACTTGTGCTGCTGAACTAGATCCCTGGCCCAGATTCTGTTTTTTCTTTTTCTTTTGGTACCAGGGACTGCATTTTTAAGGCCTTTGGGACACTTGTGTGCTTGTAAGTTTGAGAAGCAGAGCTTTACAGTGTCTATAATGACTTTAGTAATGTATCTGTTGTTCTTCTATGAAACAGTGATGTACTAATAATGCACTGAGCGTGGGTTCCCAAACAGTGCTCTGAGGCTGTTTTGTATAATACTGTGTTCTCCTGGAAATAGCAGTGGCGTTTGCAGTTCAAGTGTCTTAGTTAGGGCTTGAGGAACTGGTTTTGCAAAGACCAAAAAACAAGCTCTCAAGTGATTATAATATGTAGCACAGTTGGGGATCATGGCATAAGAGGTCCATTCTGCATACAGATGGTCCTCCCCTAGATGTGGCTCCCTGAAATAGAAAGCCCCACTCTCTGCTGTGAGGCAGAGTCTATTCTTTTATACCTGTGTGGATGAGAAATGCTTTGAATAGAAGCAGATGGAGGTTGGGTTAAGTATTAATGACACAAAAATGATGTGGTGCTCTCTTGGAATGGGTATTGTTTGATTTTATTAATTTGCTTATGTGCTAGCTGTGTTCCTGAGGATATTTCTTACAGATTATTTGAGCAGTTCTTTCCTCTGGGTTGATGCCTTAATATGCAATTTACTCATTCTTGTTAGAATTTTATGACTATAGATAGTTATAGCCCTAACCCTGTCATCATCATTATAATTATTATTATACAGGGACTGAACTGAGGATCTTTGCACTAAACTATATTGTCAATCTTTTTTTAAATTTTTAAGGCAGGTTCTCACTAAATGGCTAAGATGCCCAGATGGGACTTGAAATCGGCGATCTGCTTGCCTCGGCTTCTCTAAGTGCTGACATAGGCACCCACCAGTGTGCCTGGCCCGCACTGCCCCTGTTTTTAACCTGAAATGACACTGGAGTTTAAGCCTTTGGCCCTGAGCTTTGTTAATAGGTAGAATAGTTAGATTTAAAAGTTAACTATGGGCCACTGCTCCTCCCTTCTGCTCTGCTTTTGCTGTCAGCTAGCACTGTGAAATATTGTCTTCTGCCATGGGCCGCTCTGCTTTGGAACCAGCCAAGTGTGGAGTGAAAGCTTCATACACTGTGAGCTAAATAAACCTTTCTTTCTTAAAAATAAATAAAATAAAATAAAATAAAATAAAACAAATATGGCCAAAGCTCTTGTTTCAATTTCTAGCACTGCAAAGAGAAAAGAATATATTTGAGTGGAAAAAATGAGCTCGGGGGGATATTTTTAATAAAGTAGATGTGTGCAGTATTATTTAGATTTCTTTTGTAGCCCTTTTACTTCATACCCTTGGCAACACAGCTGTGTTTCTCAGTGTTTGTCATAATCTATATTAAAAGTAACCTCAGTAAAGACTTAGAGGTGTCACTTAACATTGCTAGTTCCAGTATATATAACACATCATAAATATTGTGGATTTTATTTTTCCATAGGCTCAAAGTCTAACTCCCCAGGACTACGATCTGCGGTGGTCAGGCCTTTTGGTAACGGTGGGCGAGGTCTTGGAAAAGAGTTTACTGAATGTCAGCCGGACTGACTGGCATCTGGCCTTCACTGGCATGTCACGTCGACAGATGATCTACAGTGCAGCCAAAGCCATGGCAGGCATGTACAAACAGCGCCTGCCCCCGAGGACCATGTGAGAAGAGACATGGGGACACTGACACTGAGATCCTTTCCTGCTCTGAACTTGGTGTTCAAGAAGTTGTGTCTTCTTGAATTGAGTAATGTCATTGAATCTAGTGATTTTTGTAATTTTCCTGTAGACTACAATATTTTTTCCTAGACAGGCATGGTATCATTCCAATAGAAGAAACAGATAGTTGTTTTTGTTTTTT